AGCATGGAGGCCCTTGAAGAAGATGTCATCTAAAAGGCAGCATATTGCTCCAAAATGCATTAATGGTGTACTCACAGATGTGTAGGTTACCCACTAATACCCCCATACCATACAGACCCTGGCTCTGTTTTAAGGATATCATGCACCATAGAGGGTGACATACATAAAATCCTTGCAATTGTTCTTTAAGGAATGTTGTTTTAAAACTGCTGCATTATTAACTGATGCATTTTTGCATAGTAGTGAGCCTTGACCCAACCTCTCTCATAAAGGCCTCCTCCTTTCCTGGATAAGCTTTTTATGCCCAAACATGATTGGGTCACCTTGCGTCACGTTTAGAATGTTTTTTGAACATTTCACAATGTTACTAGTCTTAAATTGCCCCTGTATCAACTTTTATGGAACGCATTGCAGGAATCAGTTTCAGAATATTGAGCTTATATTTACGAAAAACAATGAAGTTGATAAGATAAAGCATTGCAAATTTTTTAATGTCTTTGCTCTGATTTTGTTTAAATACAGGTCAAAGCGGATTTCTTAATCATTGCTTTCTGTTTTTATCTGCGTTGCACATACATCACGGAGTGCTCAGATGGATAAAAATCTAAAAAGAACTGATGAAAACCTTGCAAGAAAAGCATTAATGTCCTGTTGTCGCTTGGCCCAAATCAATACTAAGAGCACCAAGAAACTCTACTGCTAATCTAGATACAAATCACTAATAGTCTGATAAATAATTACACATGTTTCAGCCTATGTTGCTATATCAACATATATATCACTATATATGTGGGTAGGAGTATACCTCAGAACGTGTCCCTTGTCCAAATCTAAATTGCCCGTTGTCCAGTGAGTAAGTTTAGGTGTTTTCCAGGCAATTACAAACAATACAGCAAATATAGCGTGGATAACGTCCAGGGGGATCTGCAGGGCCATGTAAACCAAGATGTTATTGGGGTTGTCTTTGCAAGCTAACCAAAACTCCACAATTCATTATCATTCACACCATATAGCACTTAAATGTCATTCTATCCAATAATCAGTTCAATTAAAGACAATACAGAGCTTCACTTATACACCCCTTTCATTGGGACAGTAACCAAACAATGCATCCTATCTGTAATTGCCTGTTGAATGTGGCACGCAGTAAAATCAACACTCCTCCAGCGAGGTTTTGGCCTGTTTAGCATGGGTGATGGAAATTTTACTGTGTATTTGGGTGGCTTACTCGGTCACCATGTCAGCCAGCTCTTCGCTGCGTGCATGCATGTGGGTGGATACGTGGTTTGTGAGCTTTTACTGCCCCGTGGCTCTCTGAACTGGGGAACGTTGACCCGTTGCTTTGTACTGTCACTTTCCCTTCTTCAAATATATCCTCATGCGTGTTTGCCTTGGCTCTTATACTGCTGTGCTTGTCGAGGTTGTTTACGTAAATGCACCACCTATGTTTTCCATAACAAATACACCTGCATGCCGGCATGTTAATGAGTATGTGATGATGTGTACTGTGTTTCAAAAGCCTGAATTCAATTATGGGCTGGGTTATGGATAATAAGGGCAATCTGAGGTGACGTTTTCATCATTATTATATGATGCTAGAGTGAGTTTTATTTTAAACACTCAAGTAATTGAAAACGCATTTCGGATTTTTAACTGACTTGGAATTTAGACTAAAAGCTTTTGGTTTGAGTGACCCTATACCTTGATTATATGTATTTTATTAAAAGAAATGATTGAACATTAAATTTGTCCCTACCAATACAATAATAACACTACCAAAAACTTTACCAAATGTTTTGTTAGCAACAATTTTAGCCAGTACATGACCAGCAAATGGCTTTGATGCACACATAAAATAATAATATTTTTCACTAAAACACAAAAACGTTTACTGAAAGGCAAAAATATGTGTTTCAGTACTTGAGAGTTCTTAATGTTATGCACTGATTTTCAGATTTTAGGACACATTTACCTTCAAAACAACGGGATCTAACTGCTCACTATGTGGCCCAGAGGGACAGTGATGCAGTCTCACTTCCTGCTCTAAAATGCAGGTGTGTGGATAAAATAAGGCTCCACCTATGGACCAAAACTCTGTGTTTCGGTAGTGACATAAAAATGGACAGCATTTTATAAATGAAGCTTTTTTTTCTTTATTTTAAAATTGAAGCCATAAAAGAATGATACATCTAAATCTTTCAATTTTACCTGAACAAATCTCAAAAAATAAATAAATAAATAATAAATAAATATATGTGGATAGCCACCTCCCAATATAACCTTATAAATAATTATTTTGAATATATTTAGCGTATTACTTTCTCTGTTAATGACTTGGGCTTAAATAGATCATAATATAATCATTGTAAATATCTAAGGTGTGAATACTTCATTGTTTTTACTGTGGGACTGCGGTTTAAACTAATCTGGTAGAATGGTCCATATATAGTAAATAGCCATTTTATTTACAATGCAAAATTCACCGGTGAACCTACACTTGTCTTCTGAATGTTTATATTCAATAATAAATTGCAAAAAAAGTTTTCTTTGGGGACTATTTAATCTTGTAACTCCTTACATGTACCTCTCCATAATTAATGTGTTTTTAAAAAAGATATTTTTGGTAGGATGACCATCCAGGACACAGGGCAAACTGTAGAAAGCAAATGTCAACATGAAAGCAAAGCCAAATCACTGACATTTTAGGAAATTTTGAAATCCTGACCGGATGTGTTTTTAGATCATAAATAGAGGACATGTCCTAGAAAAAAAGGACCTATGGTCACCCTATTTTAGGCTGAAATCGTATCTCAAAATTAGGGCTGAATGATTCATTGTTTTTATATGGAAAATGTAATTTGAAATAGTGCAATTTTGAAAATCGTGAACGCTTTTTTAATTTTATCCTACATTACACAATGTTGTCTTAACAACTTTTACTTGGAAAAGTGTAACCTAATAACACAGGTCTTGTGGATTGACAATCTGGTACACTACATTCAGCATTCAAGCCTCAAACCCAAAAAATAAGTGCATGTGCTGATCATCTCAGGTGAATATGTCCGCATTAATCACAACAATATTGGTTAGAAAAACTGCAATTAGATATTTTCCCCAAACGGTTCAGCCCTCCTTAGAGCTATCATAAAACAATGTCTCAGGCATCAGGCAGAAAATTTGGCTTAACAATTTAAAGTAATTATGTATAAGCTTTTAAAGGCATTAAGCCTTTTGGACGTCTGGTTCCTATCACCACCACTGTGAACAATTCTGACTTGGTAAGTTTCTCTAGAATGGAGCATTTCTCAACAACCACGATAAATGACCTTGTTTAGATTTGAACTCTTAATAATACGGAAATTTTGAGAAATCGGTGGAATTCTCCTTTAAGACTTATGCTATAGTGCTTCCGGAAAACTAGGTCTTGTCTATGTTATGTTTCTTACTAACACATTTATTACAGGCTGTTTATGCCTTTTGTGTATTGCATGAAGAATGTTCCTTAGTCACTTTCTTGTGTTTCAGCTTCCTCTGTGCTCTTTAATTCTCACTAGCAGCACCGTGACTAGCAAACACATATACACTCCAGCACGTGCCGCCAGTGCTTTCTCTTTGATTTGCTGCAGTTATTAGTTGTGATTGAGTTTGGCATAAGGTAGATGTCAAGCATTCTGTTCTCTATAGTTGGAACAGGAATTGTGCGTCACGTGCATATGAGTTTTCTGTAGAACAATGAGTTCTTTTACATAAAGGTCACAATTTCCTAGCTAGTGAGAGTCATTGCTGTTTATTGTTTATTGTGCAAGAATTAACAGAGACTTAGCAAACACATAATTTAAGCATGGAAATGAGGCTGGCTTGCTCTCAATCTGATTCTGTGAGTGCATATTATAATACAACCTGGGAAACATTTCTGTCGCTCCCTCAATAAGAACATTAGTCATTAGACTAAGTCATTAAAAGGGGAATTCCAATGTTTCTAAATATCAGCATAATCCAATGGATGAGATGTTAACCGAGTCATTGAGAGTGGTTTGGTGTGAAATGGTTCATCGTACTGACTCAGATTTCTTACAGTAGTGGTGATGGGAACCAGGGGTCGCAATGTGTGCAGTGCAAATATAACCATTTAATTTACTATCCAAAACCACTAGTGAACCTACATGTGGCTTCAGAGTTTATATATTATATGTAATGTAAATCTGAAAAAATAAGTTTTCATGCATGTACTTCTCCACCATGAATATGTTTAAAAAAACATTTTAGGCCAAAATCTTCTCTCAACACTATTATAAAACAGTATCTCAGGCATCAGGCAGTGTATTTATAATGATATCATGTTATAACTTTCTGTGAGGAAGCTTTTAAAGCCATTAGTCTTTAGACGTCTGGTTCCTATCACCACCACTGAGAGCAATTCCGACACGGAGCATTTCACCATTTCATCAAACCACTCTGAATGACTGTTTGAATGACTTATCTATGCAGACATTTTGAAAATTTGGGTGGTATAAGGTGGTATTCTGGTACTTTTGATGAAGATCACAGTGATCAGCCAACTGAATACTAGCTTGGGACTGGTGTGCCCGGCAGCGAAATCCAACTAGAGCAACATGGCAGGAACTGGATGCGTTTGCTCCAGTCATGAAGTTGCTGCAGCTTTACTGATAGATATTGAGAGAGAGATATTGAGAGAGAGACAGAGAGAGAGAGAGAGAGAGAGAGAGAGAGAGAGAGAGAGAGAGAGAGAGAGAGAGAGAGATAGAGGGAGAGGGGCCTTCATCTCTATCTTAGAAACAATCCTGATTTAGCACTAAAAAATCCAGACAATGATTAACCTAAGAGCCACCCCACTCCAGAACTGAGCCGTGGCCTAGCGGGAGGGGCTGGCCTGTCAGTCAAAGTCAGCCTCATCTTTGCCCTAGAGGACATGTCCTGTGTCACTCTGAGGTGTCTACCTCTCTGAGGGGCGGGGCTTGCTCTAAGAGAGGTGGGGGTCCGAACTCCACTGAGAGGACAAGTCTTTGCCCCCAGTGTCAGGTTAGCTGAGAATGCGTTTGTCCAAAGCCCTAGCAGACATGGAGATGGCAGACTATAGCGAGGCCCTGGACCCAGCCTACACCACCCTGGAGTTTGAGAACATGCAAGTGCTCGCCATGAGCACAGGTGAGTCATCCCCTACGTTCAGGCCCCGCGCTGAACTTTGAGTCCTCCGACTTTATATTGGTAACTGAATGTTTGGTCAAGTGTGGGACGATCAGGTTTAATAGGTTTTCGTGCTCTTTTATAGACTTTTGGGGCCATTCCTTTGGGATGCCTCTGTGTGATGCGTGTTAGGTTACGGCTTGTCTTGAACCCACATGAGTTGTGACAGTAGAGCAACACTTAGGAGATGGATTTTAAGGTTTTGGGAAAGATGAACATTGCAAGCTCTGTCTTGTAGGATGGCGGGGGTCATGTTTCATTCCAAGACAGAGTTACACCACTGAAAATCCCAGTGTGATTCCATCTAGCTCCTCTTACTTCATGTTTTCTGTGGTCGGTTGAGGATGAAATGTCTATTCGGAGTAGAGTTTCCAATGTTGGTTGACAGCAAGATGGATGTACGTCAACCGTAGAAGATGTCATGGAAATCTTTTGCTGTTTAGTCTCCCATGTCTGGGATTCATGAGAAATCAAACTGATTCAATCAGTGAAATCTGTCGAATGTCAATACATTTTGATTTAGTATATCATTTTGTGGCCTTGTGGTGTTTGAGCATTTCAGCTGTGGAATGGCTGCTCTCAAAATCGCCTCAGTACATTAGATTACGTTACATTACAGTGCACTTGTGAGTGTCTTCACAGCTGGTGAATGGTGAATAGTTGGGTTACAGCATAGCGGTTGAATGGATTTGTTTGCTGATTAGTTTTATTAGCCCACAAAACATCACCAGTTAAGTGATGATGAGTGTGATTTCTAATCCTGTCACATGTTCTGCCCCATTCAGCCCACTTAAAATCGGCCAATTGACACATCCATCATGTAACATGTTCTTCCCTTTGATCAGCTTAAGCAATTGATTAGGTTTGAATGCAGTCCCGCTGTGCTCCAACACAAAAGCAACACCTTTTTTTTTTACTCTAAAAGGATTAATCATGGATTATGTGGTGAATCGCATTAAAAATGTGCTTATATCTTTAAAATCAGGCTTATTTTGAATATGTTAATTTAGTAGAGGTGCACAATTTCATTTGATTTCATTTTATTTTCCAAGTCATCAAGCTTTTAAAGTACTCATACTCACGTTTATGCACGCATTCTTGAGTAATGATTCATTCTGTTGGGGGCCTGCTGCTGCAGTTTTAGCTATAATCACCTCTAGATTACTTAGCAAACAGTCCTCTACCACACATTTTCATTAGAATGATTCACAGCTAATTGATTGCAGTGTAAAACTGGGCTTTTCAAACTATTTTACAGCCCTGCTGTGACCTTTTGCCCATTTCCTCTAAATCTGCTTGAGCTGACTCTGTGTTATCTGCGAACATCCTCTTTTCTTAGATGACTATAAGAGTATAAGACACCAACAAACTCAAGTAATCGAGGCAGAAGAACCATGAATTAACTCAGAATAACTGTTTAATTCTTCTCATTCAGTGTGGCAAGTATTGAAAAGGAATTCCATTGATTCTTCAAAAGTTTTGCATTATTTACAGTTAACTTTCTTTAATTTACAATAGTCATTCAGAGTTTGGTGTAAAATGCTCTGTTGCTCTGTTCTGCAGAAACTTACCAAGTTATGTACAGTGGTGGCGATAGGAACCAGGCATCTGAAGAGTTTTATGCCTCTAACAGCTCCCTTACAGAAAGTTTTACATGGAATGGTTATGAACACACTGCCTGATGTCTGAGATGTTTTACGATAGTTCTGATAGAAGATTTCAGCTTAAACATTTCATCATTATCAACATTACATATAAAACTCTACTAGTGGTTTTGGATAATAAATAAAATGGCTATATTTGCAGTAGCACCTGGTTTCTGTCACCATCCTTGTAAAGAAATTTGGGTCTAACTTGTCTTGGTCTCATGTACCTTGATTGCTGTTCTTACTCTTTGCCTGTTCACACACTTTTCCCTGGATTGTGATTCCAGTAAAGTTCATCCCGCACATGCATCCAATTTATTGAGTGTCACTCTGACAAAATCATTTGACATCAGTTACTATACTGCCTTAAAACAAAGAGTTTCTTACTTCAATTCAATTCATCTTTATTGTCATTATACCAGTACAGGCTTGTACAGCATAACTAAACACTGTCAGGCTACTTCTCCAGTTCAGTGATAAAAATAGATAGTAAAAAAAACAATAGTAGAATTTATTGCAAACTATAGTTATTATACTATAATTAATAAACTATAATAAATTGGTAGTCTTTGATCTATTTACAGCTTAGGTGTTTACAGTGTGTGTTTAAGGGTTCTTTAGTAAAGGCAATGGTTATACATACAGTTGCAGGCAGACATTTGCTCAAATGACCTGTTTTGTTGATTTTGTAAGTGAAAATAAGTGAACACATCCTCTACATGGAGCACATTTAAGTATAGCTTTTTTTTGCTAATTTAAGTGCACAATTTGAATTTATTTACTGGGTTTAACATATTTGAAAAAATCAATTGTAAATTATAAAATGTCCCACAACGTTGTTCTCTATAGAGGAAAAGTGTTCACTATAGAGGATGCTTTTTCACTTATAACATGTAAATTGAATAGGGGTGCCGAAACTTTTGCATAACCATGCAGAACCATGAACACTCAAACCATCTGACTGCATAGATGGTTCTCTGTATGGTTAAATACTATGCAGACTCTATAATGGAATACCTATTGTATAAGGTTCTTGAAAAAAACATTTAGGTTCTGTGTAACACTAACAAGCGGTCTGCCATTGTTTCTACTTTTTTTTGGTACCATATGGAACCTGAAAGAAGTAAACTTGAGTGTCCCATCTAGCTGATTTCACTAAAAGTACCTCTCGTTTCAGACTCCTCACCAGCTGAGAGTGCCAACATGAATGCTGGCAACCACCTGGGTGCAGGTACCCTGTGCGCCATTTGTGGGGACCGGGCAACCGGCAAACACTATGGAGCCTCCAGCTGCGATGGCTGCAAGGGCTTCTTCAGACGCAGCGTACGCAAAAACCACATGTACTCCTGCAGGTCAGAACCTTACTCCATGACTAGCACATTGCTGTCCCATTAGCCACAAACAACATCTATTATATCCCTGAGCAATGAATTCTAAATTTGGTGGCATTTGTCTTTCTTACAGGTTCAACAGACAGTGCATAGTGGACAAAGACAAGAGGAACCAATGCAGATACTGTAGGCTAAAGAAATGCTTTCGAGCCGGGATGAAGAAAGAAGGTATATACTCATTCTATGCTTAGAGGAATACTCTCAATATGCATGATTTTCTGCTTACCTCAAAGGCAGTTGATTAGCCAAGACATGTTTGGTGTCCAGATTTTGCTTCTTTACTTTAGAGCTGGAGCTACAAGGCAAATGTAGCTAACAAACACTGGAAGTCAACAGTCTCCCAAATTGTTTTCCAAAACGTCTCTCAAACTGCTTCCAGGTCTTAATTCAGCCCATGCAGCAAAGTTGATGTGGTTAGAACAGTGATTCTTAATGCTGGTCCTGGAGGCCCACTGCCCTGCTCTTTTTATTGTTTTCTCTGCTCCCAACACAACCGATCCAACTAATCAGCTCATTAACAACACCTTGGTGAGTTGAAGTGGGTGCATTAAAGCAGGGAAAGCACTAACATATGCTGGGCAGTGGGCCTCCAGGACCAAGCACTGGTTTAGAACACACTATGTCTCACTATGAACTATAAAAATGAAAAAAGTCTGTGAGTAGCTAAAACAAAGGGCAGCCATTTAGGATAACTGGAATCTTTTCTGAGCACAATTTGGTACCATTACCATTCTATAAATTTTGCACGGTAACTACTGAACGTCTTGTCGTTCATTGCCAGTTGCCACAGTTTTCATCTGTCTGCGTCAGTAGAAAATCAGTGGTAATGTACCAAACCACCCATAGATTTCTTTGTTCTGTTTTTGCAAAATGGAACACCTCATTTTTGTGGGCTTGTCGTTATTCAGCATGCAACTCTCTCTTTTACTAAGTATTACTGAGTTAATGCTAATCTGTGAAGCAAACATATGAAGTTTTTGGTGTACGTTTTTGTGGAAATGGTTTGGGTGAGTACTAGCTTACAGTGTTTGTTAGCACCGATAGCCTAGCAGCTCCAGTTCTAAACCAAAGATGCAAAATTTGGACACCAAACATGTCTTGGATGATCGACTGCATTTAGGTTACATAGAAAATCATGTTTGTTTGATTTGCTGCAGAACTTTTCCCTTAAGTTATCAGCTACAAAAAAAAAAATACTGAAAGACTTGCTCGTGCCCCATGTGGGATTGAAACAAGCCACTGTGCGTCTGGAACGTTTTGCAATATCAGAGTGAGACAGACACTTTGTTAATGTTCACTCAACAAAACACCACACTCGTGCTGAGCAAACACTTTGGAGGCATCGTAACTGCACACTGATAAACAGCCCCCCAAAGCCAGTGCTAATATTGCTGCCATCTCTGCTGTCTGCATTGGTTGGCTGATAGCAGCGATTATGTTTCTGTGATAAACTTCCTGTAGGCACTACATAAAACATTTAGACGGAAAATCTTTGTGACTAAAAAGGTAAAAGTGGCTAGTTCTATTCATTCATTCCCTCTTTTTTTTGCAGCTGTACAGAATGAAAGAGATAGAATCAGCACCAGGAGGTCCAGCTATGAAGACAGCAGCTTACCGTCCATCAACGCACTCATCCAAGCTGACGTCCTCTCCAGACAGGTCTTTAAAACACATTTAAACTGAATAACCATACCATTACTGTCCAGCTCTGGTCCTGGATGGCTTTTTCCAGCACACTTTGACCCTGCTCCACCACACCTGATTCAACTCAGTGGTTAGTTACCAAGATTAGTAGATGTGTTGAAGAAGGGAAATCACCTAACTGTGCTGGACTCCCAGACCAGTACTGGACACCTATATACAGCAATATGTCTAAATGTAATGCATGAGAATATACATGGTAAACAACACTTTTCGCTGTGCTGCAGATCTCCTCTCCAGGACCCATCATCAATGGTGACATCCGAACAAAGAAGATGGCCACCATCACAGATGTGTGCGAGTCTATGAAGCAGCAGTTGCTGGTGCTAGTAGAGTGGGCAAAATACATCCCGGCCTTCTGCGACCTCCCCCTGGATGACCAGGTAAGAGTTAGAGCAAACATTTGGAAGTACTCCAGCTTCACTCTTGGGCCTAGATGTTCTCCTATGCTAGGCTTCCTTTATTCTGTGAAACTTCTAAGGCAGGCACATGCACATGCACCTTCCCTTAGACTGTACAAGTGCCTCATGTATGGTAATTGTTTCATATGGCTGTCCTTCAAGATCTGTTTTAGCAAATTGAGGCACAGGTTCGCCCTGGTGTAAAGCCCAGTCTCACATCCCCATCCTGATTTCACTGCCCAAGGACCCTCGGGAAGAGTTAACAAGTTAGCACATTACAGTTAACGGTAAAACTTGTCACTGATTTTAGTTCAGTTGTATAATGTTGTTTTGTTGTTTAATGCCTAAACGTTTCCATATTATGTCACAGATCTGAAAAAATAATGTAAACTATTAGAGTAGTGTGCACCACAAGTTTATTGTCCAGCACTCCAAAGGACCGTGTTTTTACGGTGGTGATTTTTGCCCACATTAGCATAGAGAAATGTGTCTTGTGGTGGAGATGGAGGAGGAGGTGTGTAGGATCCTTCGTGCTAGTGGTTAATGTGTTTTGATGTCCCAGGTTAGAAAGTGATGAGCTGGTTTTAAAGTTACATCTCTCCTTAAGACCTCCGGAATCATTAACCGTGCTAGCACCAGGCCAGGGTAACTGATTTGTGGATGTTGGCCATGTATGACAGAGCATCTTCTCACACTCACACACACTTGTCTGTACAGCAGGACCCGCACACCCTCTCAATTCCTCCTCCACCATGCTTGAAATCTGTGGGAACCTCTGATGATTGGAACTCTGACCCTTTAAGTGGTGAAATCACTGCCCACTCCTACACTCAAGGGCACTCTTTCACAGCTACAAACCATTCCCATGAAAAGAGAACTTAAGGCTGGCTTTACACAGTGAAACCTTTAGGCAACTAGTTGCATGCTGTGAGTTGCCTGCAACATATGTTCTGTGCAACTGGACAGTTACATTGAGCAATTTAAAAACAATCAAGGTTACATGCAACTTATTCTATTATCCCACTAGTTAGCCAAATTAGCAGCTCATATTCTTGACGCACCATATCATTTTTGCTATAAAGCAAGGTCACCTGTATTATATCTAAATTACACCTAAATTACCCCTCTGTATTCAAGTCATGTGCAATTTTGTTTCACATAGGTTTCAAGGAAGTTGCAAGAATGTCACAGTGTAAAGCCAGCCTTCCTCCAGTAGTTAGCCAAATTAACAGCTCATATTCATATTCATAGTCATCCCCTAGGTGTAATCTGAATATTTTTGTATAATTTTTTTATCATGTTTCTATTTTTTTCCAGCAGTCATTGCTGTTCTTTTATCTATCTATCTAGGATTCTTTTTTGTTCTTTTTTATCTGTTGTTTGTATGTCTCTTCTATGATCATTTTTATCAATCAGATTCCAAATGAAGCTGAAAAAAATAGAGAAGAAACTTAAGAAAGGAGAGAGGAGAAAATAATGATGATACATGATAACAGCAGCTAACAAAGAAGAATTAATGCTGGAACAAGCAACCGATTAAGTAGCCGTTAGCGTTGACAGGGTAGTTAACCCAGCTGAAAACAGAATTGTAAAGTCAGTTGTGGGGTGGAGTCTCCTTTTCAACTGACCAAATTACCATCTTTTGTATTATTTTCTTATCCATTGATCCAGTTAAATCAGTCTTTTGAAAGTATGTCATTTAATCTGATCATGTGATGTGTTATCAGCATTTTAATTGGCTGTTTAATGAAGTCCAGATGCATGCAACTGTTACAGCTGAATTTCAATTTAGTTGCGCGATGCTTTGCAGTTTAGTTTCATGTAGGTGCATTAAAGTTTCTCTGTATAAAGCCAGCGTATCTTTTTTTGTTTTCCCAGGTTGCTTTGCTGCGAGCTCATGCGGGGGAACATCTCCTTCTTGGAGCAGCCAAGCGCTCCATGCTGTACAAGGACCTGTTACTACTAGGTAAGAGTTTTAGGTTAGATTTTTAGAGTTTATATTGTTGAACTGTAAATGAACTGAACTTGAGTATATTGTACTTGTATATTGCTATTTGGATTGGATTCATCATATTTTACTTCATGTTCCATATGATTACATTGAAAGCTCTTCCTCTTCCACCCAGGTAATGACTACATAATTCCTCGGAATTGCCCAGAGCTGGAAGTGAGTCGGGTAACGGTGAGAATTCTCGATGAGCTGGTCCTTCCTTTCCAGGAGCTCCAAATAGATGATAACGAATATGCCTGCTTGAAGGCTATCGTATTCTTTGATCCAGGTTGGTATACCATCTCAGGAATCAGTGACCACACAATGTTTTTATATACCTGAATGAATATCAATGTACATTAAACACATTTGATTTGATTAAAAACAAATCATGACTCTCTGGTTGGGTCCTTTCTTCACTGCTAGATGCCAAAGGTCTAAGTGATCCAAGCAAGATCAAACGGATGCGGTACCAGGTGCAGGTTAGCTTAGAGGACTACATCAACGACCGGCAGTACGACTCGAGGGGACGATTCGGAGAGCTTCTCCTCCTCCTGCCTACGCTACAGAGCATCACCTGGCAGATGATTGAGCAAATCCAGTTCGTTAAGCTGTTTGGGATGGCCAAGATAGACAACCTCCTCCAGGAGATGCTTCTAGGAGGTAAGGATAACAATGCTTACAATACGAATATACCTAGTTAAGGATTTCTTCATGGAATATGAACCTGTTCACCGGTTTGTAAAATGACCTCTCATTTTCTTATTTTCCATCCCCTTCTGATGAATGTGATATCACTTAAGATCTCAATTAGCCATATTTTCTTTCCATCCATGTGTGAGATTTACACACTATGGGAGTGTGGTTTAAATATGCAGTCGTAGTTTGGGCTGGAGATATTTGCTGGAACTGGCAACCGTGCCCACTGAAGAGAATGCAATGAATACAGCGAGATCTGTGAACTGTCTTGTATGATAACCAGCATTTATCATGGCTTATAATATTATAATATTTAGCTTAGCTTGTAATATTATAAATGTTGTTGGTCATTGCTGTGGAGAGTTTTGTTAGGGGGGAATAAAATATGGATATGGCGTATAAAGCAACGCTAAAGGGAAAAGCAATCCCCATTCTGAACTTTTGATGACCTTTATACGCTTCCATTTTAGGCTCTGCAAACGAGGCCCCCCATGCTCCTCCATCTCTACACCCACACCTGGTCCAGGAGCACCTCAGCAACAATGTTATTGTGACTGCCAGCATGGCCACTCCAGTTCACAATGGACAGATGTGTAAGTTCCTGAACCCAAACCTTGACCAGGTTGAACACAGATTGGCTAGAGATGTGCTCTCTTCAGTGTACAAGCCCACTCTCTGAGGCAGAGTCAGGTAACTGAAGGGACAAACAAGCTTGCTGGAGTAATCCTTTTGTGAGTTAATCAGGCTTACTTGGTCAAAGAAAGCTACTGTTATTCTTTCCTACCATTCCTAATGCCTTCAGAAATTTCACAAGAGCTCTTATTGCATGTCAAACCAATGGTTTCTTTCTTTCCAATGTTATCCTGCTCTGCCGAATACATTGGTTCGTGGAAGTTTAGATGTATCCTTACATGCTCCTGTTTTTTTAATGGGATCTTCTCGCTTTTTGTGTCCACAGCCACTCCTGAAACTCCAATCCCTTCTCCTCCACCAGCCTCCAGCTCTGAGCACTACAAACTGGCCCAGGGGGTCATAGCGACAGTGCCCAAACAGCCAACGGCCATCCCTCAGCCCACAATCACCAAGCAAGAGACCATCTGAATGCCATCACGAAACAAAGAATATGGTGTATTGTGCATTAGCACTAGCGAACCACACTTCAACAAGAGGCTGCTTCATAGATCCTTGGACAAAACTAGGTAGTTATAATTTTGAAGTAGCCATTAGCAAAACATTCAGTAGCAATTTGCATTGGTCTCTTTGTGAAGCATGTGCTCATGGTATGAGCATCTGCAAAACGGCATAATGTAAAGTACATTTCAGGTTTTTCTCCTCCTTTTTTGTAAAAACTAAAAGTGAGCAACAAACGAAAACCCCTATCATATATAATGGCATGTAGGCCAGAAGAACAGTCAAAGACCTCAGGAGTGAACAGTAACTATACTGTGGATGAAGCCTGATTTTACAAATTTCATCCTCATTTATAGGCTAATGTCTTTCTAAACTAGTGGAACATATTTATACTCCCCTTGGAGACAGATTTCATTGAGTCGGAGAGGATGGTTAGCAGAGTTTATATTGTTATTTTAAGAATAATAAATGTTACAACAAGGCCTTGGTAAGAGTTAGATGTTTATGTTGTACAGTATTTTAATGACCAACGTGACCTGACTGATTTCTACAGTACTTAAGAATAGGCTACATGACATTGTTTGTGCCTTGGAAATTTTATAATTTGTGTAAACTGCTCATTATTAGGTGTTCAGAGTTATATGCATCTTGTTTTTTTTCCTCTGATGTATTATAGATTAATGTAAATCTCATGGCTTCTGCTTTTTCTTGTGAACAGAAAATATATATTGTGACATACTTTATAAAATAATACATATGTTCCAGATATCCAGTCTTTATGTCTATTGGGATGGAAACAAATGTTTAAATATACTGCTTTACCCCAGGACTCCATCACTAAGGAGTGACATCTATTTTCTGTGAGAATAGCAAAGAGGGTTTGGATGTTTGTCACTGAAGTAGATAGCCATATGTTTGTATGTGTTAGTGTAGACATTGCTGTTTGGTGACTTCTCAGCGAGCAAAAAAAGTGCCTTGCCATACCTTCAGGGAGAAGGATGATTTCAACCTTGCAGTGTGAACTGATATTAAATGTCAAGGTTATATTTTTACATAAACATGTGCAGCCTATTTATTTTATATTATGTATAGTATTTTTTGCCATGTGTTTCTTAATTTGTTCATTAGGGCTGCCACGAATGTTCTCCATGTTCTCCATGAATCAGCATAAAGATTAGTTTGCTATTTCATTGACAAACAGGGTGTCTGCAGGTCATTATAACTATTTGCAAATTCTCCACAAGCACCACTGAAAGAGAGGAAACCCATACCAGCAGGATCCCACAAATGCACATATGTTTTTAGTGCATTTAAATTTCATATACATTAAGTTAAATTTGTTGTTACAAATTGCATGTATGTGAAGTAAAAGGCTTTGTTTAATTACGTCTGGACTGAACAACTTGGCAGACGGCTAACAGGCTACTCAAATAATATTGGGGTTTTTCACCATATGCAACATTCAAATTCACGAATATGCCACTTAAGTGTCAGTTATAAGCTTCAAATGTCCATTTGTAAGTAGTCTGAGTAATATTAAACCCTGTGTTGGGAGTCAGTGTACACTACCATTAATTTGGTGCTAGCATAACATGGAGATTAGTGCTAGTGGAAATTAGCAAGCAGTGGGACATGGGCTACAGGATTTCTGTAGTCAGCTGCTATGATGTGCATGAACGTGAAACGTTCATAAAATCACTGCCTCAAAGTAGCTTTATACTCAGTTACTAACATAATTAGTAGTGACAGCCCTAATAATTTAGTTAATTTAGTCAGAGCCAAACAAATAAGCAAACAAAACCTGTTCAGGTGACTGTAGTTGATTTTGCTGACCAGTTCAAGCAACATCTTAATGTTAGTTAATGTTGCAATGTTTGCAGACGGTTAAACAAAATGAGCTAACCCTAAAACAAAATGCGGACCGCTCACTTATGGCTTTCTTATGGCTGTTTTTTGGCCAGCTGTTTGCAAATCATTATTACTCCACTCAATGTTGATAAAGGAGAACCAAGTCACAATGCATCAAAAATATTAAAAGGTTAAAAGAGAGCCAAACACTGAACTTATTTGACATGGGAGGAGTTTCCTTATAATCTCCTAATCTCCCGGCAGTAAAAATGCTTTAAAACAAGATGATAAAAGTGGCAGCCTACGTGGCAGAGCATGGTCAAGGATTTAGTGCTAGGTGTGTATTGGACTGATAAATGTCATAAAACAATTCCAGATAACTTAAGAAAAAGCCAGGCGCCTTCCTCCTGAGACCTGCGGAGGATCACTGTGGAAGTGGATGTAGCTGTTCTTATCTGTCATACATTAATGAGCTTCCATTTTGTCAAGGCTAATAGTTCACCAGTCTTCTGCCATCATGAGCACATAACATGCTCATTGTGACATGAACGGTCAATATGTCATGACTTGTGACTTTTTACCTGTATACTTTTTGTAAAAAGACCAGCATGTCCCAGCCAACATGCCCACGTGGGCCCCAAATGGGTTAACAATGGGCTGCCAATTGGGCTCCCTATATGCAGTCCATTTTGGGGCCCAAAAGATTTGTCCAGAAATCCAGAAGTCACATATTTTACTTTGTATGTTGCAATGTTCAATGAATCATTCAGCAAATACTTCAACTTAAACTTATGCAAGCATATACAGCCCATCTAAAAGCCCATTACAAGGCCATGCCTGGGTAAAACCCACACAGCCCAGTTAAAACCCACATGGGGCCCACATGGACATGTTAGCTGGGATGTTGCTTCAAAATGTGTATATGTCTTTTAGCATTAATGGTGCCTTTACAGATGTGTAAGTTACCCATGCCATGCACACTAACGCATCCCTATACCATGACAGGCCCTGGCTTTTGATCTTTACACTGGTAACAAATTGGAGAACACAAATGTAACATTTATGTCATTTATGAGTTATAAACAGTGAAGAATTTCAGTTAAATACAGTACAAATTGTAGACTGGAATACTTTGAATGGTAAATGTAACTCTCTTAAAATGCCCAGTTTTCCATTATTTCCATAAACAATCTGAAAGATTGACTTGTCAGACCACAATACACTGCACATAAGTCCATTTCAGAGGAGCTTGAGCCCAGAGAAGTTGTGCATAGTACAGTCTTAAATTGCATTTGGTTGCAGTGATGAATGATGTTTACTGACAATGATTTGTCCAAGTACTTCTGAGCCCATTATTGCTGTGTGATTATTGTGAAATAAGCATCTAGGAGCAACCACAGCTCAAAGCAGTAGACCACACAAGCTCACACAGCAGGGCCACAGAGTGCTGAAGTGTGTGGCCTGTAAAAATTGTTTATCCTCTGCTGCATCACTCACTACTTACTCTGACTCTGGAAGCAACATCAGCACAAGAACTGTGTATCAGGACCTTCATGAAAAGGGTCTCCATGGCTGAGCAGCTGCGCACAAGACTAAGATGCACTATGCGCAATGCCAAGCATCAGCTGGTGTGGTGTAAAGAGAATCCACTGGACTGGAGCAGACTGAAGTGATGAATCATGCTTCACTTTCTGTTAGCGTTAATGCTACAGCACACAAAGACATTTAAAGAAAATAACATGATTCCAACTTTGTGACAACAGTTTGGGGAAGGCCCTGTCCTGTCCCAGCATGACTGTGCACAAAGTCCATAAATGCATGATTTGAAGAGTTTGTTGTGGAGGAATCCCAGTGGCCTGACCTCAACCCTACTTTGGGGTGAGCTGGAACATGAATCCATTAAGTGTTTTGGTTGGTTGATGGTTTTGTAATGTGTTTTTGGCTTTTTTTAATTGGTTGATATCACAGTGTAAATTATCCAAATGGTTTAACAGGTGAACAATGGCTGATTCTAAATACATTTGATGGTTTCATGATGAGATCTAAAAGTTTTCTATCTGAAACCAGTGGTTTCTCTTGAAACCATTTAGCCAATTATTAAGCCTAATATTTAATTTTTAACATTTTTCAACAGATGTAATTATTTTTCTTTTCTTTGTCTTTATTTATACGTGGTTTTGCTTTTGCTAAAGGACTCCGTCATACTCAGTGATGACCGCTAGGGGGCAGAAAAACTCTTTCTCCGTGTGAGTCAGTCCTCAACGCTTCATCGTGCCTTTAGTGTGAGTTCCTGCTGTTTTCGCTCTATTAGGCTCTGATAACAGAGAATGACAGATTCATTAACCTGTAACTCTTTACATGTAAATAACAAATCACCGCCTCCAGGTCTTCGCTAAGGTCGTGTAGACTTGTCGATGTGATTTAGTGCACAGTGTGACGAACTGTGAGCTTTAAAAATGAACAGAGCTTCACTGTGTACCCGAACACTGCGGGCAGACCCTTCAGAGAGATTACACTTCATTAATCCCCAAAGAGAGGACAACGGTCATGTTATATGTGGCCATTTAGTAAGTCATTATAATGAGAAGGTTTTCCATAATTATGACTTACTTTCTCATAATTATGAGAAACATTATTATTCTCATATTATGAGATACTTTCCCATTATTATAATATACTAAGTCACAATTATCAGATCTCATTACTATGAGATATCAAGTCACACAAATGAGATGCTGTGTCCTAATTCTGACATAGTAAGGCATAATTATGAGATACTAAGTCAAATTTAAGGATCTTAATAATCTTTCTCATAATGACTTACTAAATTACTATATATTTTTCTTCAGTGGCTGAAACGGGCCTGTCCTTCCAAAACACGTTTATTTTACAGAAGACATATCAGACTTATTCGACACATTAGCGTTTAAAGAGAGAGATAGGGGAAAAAAAACAACAATGCATTGATATTTGACCACACAAAACTGAAACAAACGTCACGCCACAGCAAATTCATATTATTATATTTGTTTATATTTGCATCCTATTTAGACCATGATATTCTGATGTGATGAGATTCAAATCCGTGCACAAACCGGAATTTCTTACGACATGGCAACCCAGGACTGAGCGATGAGCCTGATGTAATCGATGACGTTACCAAGACTAGCCAATGGCAGAGCGCGCTGTTCCTGTACACGGAACTGATTGCGGTTTTGCCTGGCAGGTGGGTTATCACTGCGCTCGGTTAGTAACCTATTATGGTTAAAATATGATGAGGAATAAAAAAATAATAATTCTCTGCTGCAGCCGTGTATGTCCAGGTCGTTAAGGTTTTTACTGGCTATGTGTTTGTGCGACCTTCTAAGCCACAGTGTTACCGCTGATGAGACTATTAGCCCGATAACTAGCCACTGTTATTAGCTTTGGCTACTTGTTTAGTTAGTTTAGCAGCTCTTTGGAACACTTGTTTCATTTAGGACAGCTTATACAAAATGTATATATTAACCTGCCTTGTCTTGATCAGTTTCCTAACTGTAGAGTGTGTTTGTAACCTGATAAATAAACTTGTTGTAATGTTGGAGTATGCACAGTGTTATTGCCTGAACAAGTTCAATTACTTTTACCTTCTGCCAGGTACACAAGCAGCCCATGGCAGATCAGAATGGTCAAATTGATGCCGGCCCTTCACTGGAGCAGGTGGCAGGAGTGGGCTTCCCTGCTCCTCCTCCACCCATCTACTCCTGCACTCTGACCCCAGAGCTGGTGGCCAAGGCTCGAGAGGAGCTGCAGGAGAAGCCGGAGTGGAGGCTCCGAGATGTGCAAGCGCTGCGAGACATGATTCTGAAAGAGCAGCCCAATCTGAGGACACGGCTGGACGATGCCTTTCTCCTGCGCTTCCTCAGAGCCAGGAAGTTCGATTATGACCGAGCCCTGCAGCTACTCCTGAACTACCATGGCAGCAGGAGAGCCTGGCCTGAGGTGTTCCAGGACCTGAAGCCCTCTTCGGTGAAGCATGTGCTGGATCTGGGCTTCCTCACCGTCCTGCCCAGACCAGATCCTCAAGGCCGCTACATCCTGTGCTTACGGCCAGGTTGGTTGAATTAACGATTGAAGTATCAGAATTAGTAATTGCTCTTTGGTAGAGCTGTACAGTGTACACTGAAGCAGCGTTGTAAATAGTACCAAAAATGTTTTATGACTTATAACCGTAGTGGAATGGGGTGCTATAGAGCCCACTTTAAGTGGTTCTTTCTTTAAAAAGACATGTACAACAGGTTTTCAGTCAAAATGTAACCATTCAAACAGGTCTTCATGTATATAACCATTGCCTTTACTAAAGAACCCTAGAACAAACAGTACTTTGATATCATATAAGGCTGAGGTCATGGAGGTCATTTTTATTCTTTGCTGTGAACATCCTAACCTGCCTCAGATGGACTTTTATTTTGTCCATGTTATGCAGCTCTGCTCTTAAGTCTTATAGTATATGTTTCTGCACTGTAATAAGACCTCTCAAGGAACTCTTTTGCTCTGATTTGCATAGGGAAGTGGAAACCAAATGACTACCCATTTGTGGACAACATACGAGCCATTTATTTGACGCTAGAGAAGCTGATTCAACCTGAGGAGACCCAAGTGAATGGAATCGTCATTCTGGTGGATTACACTGGAGTTGGCTTATCTCAAGCATCCAACCCAGGCCCGCTTCTGGCAAAGAAAGTTGTTAGCATTCTTCAAGTGAGTCTGCTAATCGGCACCGACGCAAATGTGATGCACTGAGACGTTTAAATTATAGAATATATTTTGAAATCAGTTAAAAACATTACATTTCCTCTCATGAAGCACTAATCAGCTGACTTTCATTTCAGGATGGATTTCCAATCAGAATAAAGGCTGTAAACATCATCAACGAGCCGCGCATCTTCAAGGGCATATTTGCAATAATTAAGCCTTTTTTGAAAGAGAAGATGGCTGAAAGGGTAATTCACAGTGATTATTTATTTACGCTCTTATTTATTTGCAACCGCATTGCTAAATTTAGATTATGTAATTATGACTTGTTTGGTCACCTTAAGTTACTTGTATGCGCCATCATGACCAGTAAAAAATGTATCACAACCAGCTTTTCTCTTCCTTGCAGTACGTGTTACATGGCTCAGATCTTTCGTCCCTGCACCGGGTCATTCCTCGCTCTGTCCTTCCTGAGGAGTACGGCGGGGTGGCCGGGCGGCTGGACATGTCAGCCTGGGCGCGAACCCTGCTGGAGGCTGAGGAGGAATTTGTGGTGGAGTTCTGCCAGCCGGACCCTCTGGAGGGTGTAGTTCTGCCTGACTCCATGCTTTACGAAGGCGAGCAGGCTGAGGACTCTTACAGAAGCCTGCGTTCACAGCTCTACTACTGCTACTGACCTCCGATCAGTCAGCCCGCCTCTGTTTCTTTTGAAACGCATTTTTGTTGTGACCATTAGGGTCAGTTTTATTTTTCTGAAATTTGTCATGTGTCTAGAGGTGATGGCTTTGGACTGGCCCTATCAAATTAAGGAGTACTAAGCTCGAAAAGTGAATGTTCATAAAGCATTAATGAATTACTGTCTGTCTGAATGTCGTGAGAGAATCTGATTTTATTCCGTTCAAAAAAATATCACCCATGCCTATTGTTGTCCTTTGGTACAAGTTATAGTTACCATTTAATTGTGCAAACATTGCTCACACAAACCATTCATATGGCTTGTTTTAACACTAATCCAGTGTTACATTTCAGCAAAGTATTGCCTTAATCTACAAAGAAGGGAAGAGTTGTGTAGGCTTGTAATATCAGGCCACACAGTGACTGTACGGTCACAGTCTGGTAAAGTTTGTGTCCCAATAACGTTAAACCCCAAAGCAATACTGATGTGCATTCATTTTGTTGCCTCATTTTTTTTGTGTGTGTGCTTCTTATAGCACTGTATATCCAATTTATAGAAGCTACAACGTTTACTTTTTAGGATGAAAAGCTCTGTAACACTTGTTTATTATATTTTCACTTTTCATTTTTCATTTATGCCTTGTTCAAACTCACTGTATTATATTCATGTAGCTGTTAGTGAGTTTCATGTTCACAAGGACCTACAAAGAAACGGTAAACATTAGAATAGTTTAGCTGAATATCTTTAATAAGCCAAAATATGCATATACCATCCTAACATTTATGTGGCCAATATAAAGTTCACATTTCATTTTTACCATGCGGTTCTTTGCCAAATCTGACAGCATTAAAAGTAAGCACTTATGTATAAATCAGTGTGTAGGAAAACTGCTCTTATATATTTCTTCTGAGTATTTGGTGATATGGTTATATTTATTGTGTTTTGAGGTACTTTTTTATTTTTATTATTATTTTATTTTTTCCAAATTTCACATTCATCCCAGATGTAGTAAGCTTCCTTATATCTTTGGTAAGCTACCACAATATGTTCATATAGTTCATTCTGAGTAGTCAATGATATAAATAAACAGTGACATAATTTGCAATATTAACTTGTGTATGTTGTGTCTTTTGATTTTGCCAGTTTGGGCTCAAAGTGCCTTTTTGATAGTTTACTTTTCTCCAGCAGATGGAGACATATTGCACAGCACTTCACAGAGACTTGATTTACTAAACTTCAACTTCCCCAAAAGTGAGAAAAAGGCTTTTGGTGGAGTTTGGGTGGAGTTTCTGTGGGTTTCACTAGCAGTTTAATCAGTGTTGATAGGGGGAGGCTGAAACCCCAAATGCCTTCCAGAGTATTTGAGTTTTCCCACAGACTACTTAGATTGAAAAGTGTCACTGTGCTTAGCAGTTTTTTCTCTCTAATAAAACTCTAATAAAAAAAAAATTGTTTCCGCATGTATTGTTTTCCAGAGAAACATTTTGCCAGTTAACATTTAAGAGGCATTCTAGCCTTTAACTAGCTTTAATATGCTATTAGTTGTGTTAAAGAGTATTCTGTAACACAATTTTGCAATTAATTAGACTGAAGAATGTAATACAATTTTGCATTCTTCAGCCTAATTTAGCCAAATGGATTAAAATTCACAATTTTTTACTACAGTACTCAGCAAGCATTACACAAATATGTCATACAATCATCACAGCCTTAAAGCAATCCTGACTTCTAGCTTAGCCACTGATGTGATATTTGGTTTCCTAGTAATTTAACTATCTGGTCCTCTTTTGCATTAGCCAGCGGGTGGGGAAAACACATATACAGAGGCCACCAACTAATATATTAAGGCCACCAGCTAATATTTTGTGGCCACAAATGAATATATTGAGGCCACCAAAATATATTAAGGCCACCATTTAATATACGGAGGCCACCAATTAATATATTGAGGCCACAAATAAATATATTGAGGCCACACATTCAATTATTGAGTCCACCAATTAGTATATTGAGGTCACGAGTTATTATACTAATGCCACCAATTAATAAACTGAGGCTATGAATTAATATGAGGTCACCAATTAATACATTGAGGCCACAAATGAATAAATTGAGGCCACACATTAAATTATTGGCCACCAATTAGTATATTGAGGTCACAATATATTGAGGCCACGAGTTAATATATTGAGGCCGCATATTAATATATTGAGGCCACAAGGCCACTGAGGCCACCATTTAATATACTGAGGCCACCAATTAATAATCTGAGGTTATGAATTAATATATTGAGGCCTCCAATTAATACATTAAGGCCACAAATGAATAAATTGAGACCATACATTAAATTATTGGCCACCAATTAGTATATTGAGGTCAGAAGTTAATATATTGAGACCACACATTAATATATTGAGGCCACCAGCTAATATTTTGTGGCCACGACAAAATATGCACATTTTCCTAGATTTAAGTGACCAGTATAAAGTTTCTAGTTGTAATCAACGTTGAGAGGTAGCAGCCTCTGCACTTTAGGATTGCCCAACTAGAAGCACCACTGCTTCTCAGTTTGACTCGAGTTTGAATTTGGGAATTTTCACAGAAAAAGCGTCTTTTGTTTTCTCCGTTTGTTAGAAACGTCCACTTTTATTACGCAGCGAACATATGCAGATGAGCGCGGAGCTGACCGTCCCTATTGGAGAAAGCGAGCTCGAGATCCCTGAAAACGGAGCGTGATTGGTTGCGAGGGAAAAAACTCCATTTTGGAAACAGCTGTTCGGGACACCACCTCGCTCATTGTTTTCAGCGGCGCTGTCAAAGAAGCGGTCGGGCTCCGACATGGTGATGTTTCTCCGCAGGAGCTGCTCGTCGAAAACATGTCACAGTAACGCAGAATAATGATGGAAAGGACACCTGAAATATAGCCACAGAGAGCTTCAGCGACAGCGACGGTCGGAGTGCTGCGGTAACAAGTGGAGGAAATTCAGGCGAACGAAGGTTGGTCGTTGGTAGTATTACCGTTGGCTCGGCGCTGTGCTTAGCGGTAGCCGTTATGGTGTAAAAGAATGAGACTGTAACGAACATTTTATTCAGAGATGAAGTTAGAAGGAAAATGGCAGGGACAGGCTGCTCTTATGGGCGTTTGAACGGACAGGGAAATAGAGAAAGGCACGGCAAGCTGCTGTGGTAACGCTGCGAAATGTGTTGTCTGTCTATGCCTTCGCATCCTGGTGTGGAGGAGGAGGAGGAGGCGAACAGCTCCAGCTCCAGCATGTAGACGCTCTGTTAAGTAAACCTTCATAGTGTCAACTTTACGGTGTGTAAAAACGCAGAACTGAACACTCATTCTAGTTCAATGTTAACGTTAGAAGTAGCGAAACTAATTTTTTACTCAGTTTTGTGTACTTTTCAGCTTGGCTCTAAGTAACTAGTAAGACTTTTTAAAAAAGTTTGCTGCCTTGTGTTTAGGAGACTTTATATGAATTAATTATTTGACCCAAGCTGCTTGAATTACAAGGTAAATAGGGATCGTTTTCCATCCTTATGTGCTAATGTCCTAAAATCTCATCTCCTTATTGGGAATTCCACCATTTTTTCTCCATTTCTGGTAGGAACCTGACGTCCAAAGCATTTAATGCCTCTAAAAGTTACCTCACAGAAAGTGCTCTGGCCCTGTGTGCCATAGTTTTGAGTTAGGGTTTCAGCCTAAGATGTGTTCATATTTGCATTCATAAAATCCATTCATGGTGGACAGGCACCTTCAAGCATACATAAAAACTCAGAAGATGTGTAGGTTTACTGGTTGTTTTGGATAGTAAGTAAGATGGCTTTATTTCCATTGTAGACATTGCAGCCTCTGGTTCTTATCACCACCACTCTGAATGACTTTACTCACAGTGATTGAATCATGCAGAAGTTTTGAAAAAAATGAGTGGTATTCCCTTTTAAGGACATTAAAGGGTCTGTTTGTAGCTTGGACTGGCCATGAGGATGGCCATGTGTGCTCTGAAGCAGCAAATGTAATCAACCAGAAATGAAGTAATGGGCCTACAACAGTTAGCCACAGTTATAACAGAAGTACAAGAGATTAAACCCAAGTAAAGAGAAAATAAAGAGAATATGGCTGGCTATTGTCACAGATCACAGAACATGATATACTACATTTCATATCATTTATAACTTGAACACAGCAGTTGTAAGTCAGTAGAATTTTGAAATGAATGGAAAAACAGTAGCTGTTCCATGAATCACATGTGATGTTATTAGAGGCAGTGATTTTCACTTGGGCAGTTTGTTTTAGTCCGTACATCATTTCTTTAACAAATTCATGTGAACTTTTTAAAATGCAAAGCAAGGCCCTCGGTAAAATCACCTTCATGAAAAAGCTCTTTCATGCTTTACTTCGTCTTACCTTTCAGAAACTGATTCTGAAGGTAGTGTTATGAATTCCTAAGTGCTGATGTGTCAGGATCATTTCCAGAGATTGGCGGGTGCTGTCCTGCATGCGCACGGTGGTTAAGTGGAATGTGAATTTGAATGGTATGGGCAGGCAATGCCTGATTAAGCTTGAAGAGAGTTTGCCATCAGTGACAGCCTCGAATGTACTGTTAACATAAAGGAACATCTAAGGGGGAAAGACTGTTCTTTTTTTTGTCATTTTTTCCTGTTATAGTGTAGACATGCACAATAACATTCCAGTCAAGTGGTGCTTATGTTATTCATTTTTCAATGTCAGGAAAGAAAGCAGAGGACCTAAATTTAACAGAAAATTACACAGAAGCCTCAACAACTACATATTATATCACATCTTTCTGTACTTACTGTGTTCACTGTTTGAGTTTATCACAGCTTCCATTCTTTTCTAGAGACTTGCTTTCAGTTTTTAAGGAAATCTGTAGGGATGGTTTTCCACACTTTCAAGTTCAGTCTTAGTAGTTTGTTACATTTTCTCTTTATCACCATCCAAAAAATACTAATTACAAATTTGGACTCCTCAGTGTATAATGCCTTACTCCATATCTCAGATGTCAAGTTTTGGTGCTTTGGAGAGTTTTTTTTGTCTTTATCTTTTTCTTTTTCCAGTAATGACATCTTGACAGCTCCACATCATTTCAGACTCATAGTGTTGAGTTGTTTTTTCATAGTGGAGGGATGAACAGAAACACCTGTGAACTTTTTAAAAACCTGAAAACAAAACTGGCACTTAATTTTCTCCTATCTCTCAAAGGTAATAGTCTTAGATCTTGGGGATAGGACAGGAATCCCATTTTCTTTATATATTTTAATAATTTTATGAGATCCAGTTTTGGAAACTGGTTTTTTTTTCACTAATTTTCCTTTGACTTTCCTGTGTCCTTATGCAAGTGGGATATCTGATCCCTTCAAAAAATATCTCCAGAAAAATAATTAATTTGTTCAGCTTCCGTTTTGACAGGAAGTTAAATAAATGAAGGATGCTCTCTGACCTTTGCACAGTACTATGTTGAAAACTTGACATCCACCTTCATCACCACTAAAGCAATATTTAAATGATGTGTCAGCTGAAAGATCCATTTATGTGGTTATTGGCCACATACATTTAGTCATTTAGCTGATACCTTTTGCCAAAAGATTTTGGCTGGGTCAGATGACTAGAGCTATGGCTTTGGCTGTAGCATTAGCCATCAGCTGAAATCAAATACATTATTCAGTTATGGAAAAGGTGACCACTTGGCTACCACCATCCCATACAATTTAAGTAAAGTCTTATTCTTTATCTTCAAAATATCTGAACAAAAAAGTAAAATTACGCCTATAATGCTTAAAATTGTACACAATTGAATACATGTAAACATAAATGCACATCAGTTCATAAGTTGCAAAAATGTCAGCAGCCATTGCCACAGTAACTAGGCAGCACGAGCCATAGTACTCCTCAGCCATTGCTGCGTTGATGAGGGATGTAGATTTTGTAGATCTCTGTTACGAAGATCATTGTAAATGTGTACAACGTATCTCGTAAGCAACAAAACAAATCTGTACAGCCCATTGCCTGTATTTTTTTCTAGCTCATTTGCCTTTGTTTGAGTTCAGTTTACGTTAAGTTACACTTGTGGCCTTTAGTCAGAGCTGCCAGGCAGGTTCAATGAAATGATCGTAGCCGTGTTTAAGGTTGTAATGCTCCTCTCAGGATGTGTTCGGCCTGTTGTCCTCCTCTCACAACTCGGAGCAAATCAAATCACTTTACGCCCACATCCTCCCTGATCAGTGGGAGAGAAGAGAGCTGCAGCTGTGTGGGATATGCTCATGTTAGAGAGAGAGAGAGAGGGAGAGTGGTAGAGGGAGAGAGGGGAAAAAGCAATCTCTCCAGCTCCTCCAGCACAACCTGCTTTTTTTTGTGTGGACTTTATCATTCTTGGTTGTCTTTAGTCATCACTGTGTGGACAGGATTTGAAATGAGATTGGTAAGTATTGAAAGCTGTGCAGTAGCCCAAGCTAAAAGAATGTTACTGATTGGCTGTGGACAATGATACTGTAAGCGAGAACTGGGTTACACTAAGGCCAAAGAAAGAGGAAATGCTCTGTGACAGGTGCTCTTAACGACCAAGCAGCTGTCCAGCACCATCGTCTGCCCAGTGTATCTGGTTTGGGTTGGGTTTGGTTAATGCAATGGCAGTTTTGCCGTTGTGTACTTTGGTGTTCGATAATGATGATTATTTATATGTAAGGATTCCCATGCCAGGTTGGTGCATAGATTTTCTAACAGAGGTCATTCTAACAGGGATCACCGATTCAGTACTAAGTATTGATATTGGCTGATAGCAGAAAATGCTAGATAAGATATTGGAGGGGGAAAAAATGATGAATCTTACCTTTATTTCTCATCTTTTGTGAAGTGTTTCAGTTAAAATGTTTCATTGTAAAGTTTAGTAGTTTTTGTAGAAGAAAAATCACACTGGTATTGGTATCGACATCTGCCGATATTTAAGGTTTCAATATCTGTGTCAGAAAGAAAAAATGCCATCTCTAGTGATTACAAATATCTGCTGTGCTTGTTATTTAAGCAGAAAAGCTTTTAGCTGTTTTGTGAATTGTTTGATTGTATGCATGCATTTTTAGGCAGATAATGATAACATATTTTTTTGACAATTTAAAAGATCACATTGTTATCTGTGAAATACAGTGAGCGTAAGACAGGCCAAACTCTAAAGACAGATAATTGATTAATTTTGCATAATCTTGACACAACTACATCACGTATTACAAGTATTGCAAACTTTGACGTTATGTCATGCAAGTATTTTGCGTTATTTATGAGACAGTCTTATCCAGGGCAGTTCACAAAAGTAGGTGTGTGTAGGAGTGAGTTAAAAAGAAGGGAAATGCCAGCCACTAGAGACTACATGTGCATCAGTGTGAGTACAGGCTGAAAATAGGTCTCTGAATTATCAGCAATGATCAGCAAATAATAATTGAGTTTTGCTGTTTACTGGAGAGTAATATGATACCATGCAAAAGTCAGAGACCATCATTTATTTATTTAATTTCCAGTCAGGAGGCCCTTATGTATAAGATATTCATTTTTGAGCATCAGGAAGGAAAGCAGGAAACATATATTAACAAAGAACTTACACAGAAACCTTAAGAACTAAATATAATATCAGAATATTCAGTATTTGATGTGTCCACATTTTAGCTTTACTTAAGCTTTCATTCTTTTCTTTAGACTTGCTTTCAGTTTTTCAAAGAAATCTGCAGGGATAATTTTCCACACCTTTTTAAATCTCAGTTTTGGAAACTCCTGTTTTTTCCCCTTATTTTCCCAACCTGCAATCTTAAATGAATAACTTATTTAATGGCCATTTAGTCTGGAAATGAAATAAATGAAGGATGATCTCTGACCTTTGCCCAGTACTGTATATTGGCAGCGCCCCTAATTCAGATTTCACTGAATGTACACAAAACCTTGCTGTATCGGTTTAGCTTGCCTCTACTTCATACAGTACAACTGCTTTGTG